TCCTTGCCAGAGGCTGTGGCAGCTCCCTGGGGATTGTCCCTTCCTGCGCCAGGGTCAGAGCAGTCACCAAAACGAAAGTGGAATTCTGTGCGGGAGGGAGAGTCTCGTAGTGATCAAATCCCCGCGGCCTGCCCCTGCCGCAGCGCCCCGCTCGCGCTCTCCCTGCTCCGTTTGCGCGCGGTCCCAGTCCCGAAACAGACCAGGCTGCGGCTGGGCCGGCGTTTCCTACTTCTGGCCCGTTTCCGGGGGAGTAAGCGGCTTTGTGCTGGGGAGAGCCTGTGGGGGAAGTGGGTGCTCCGCAGAGCCCAGCAGCTGTGCACTCCCGAGGACGGGGCGGGCGCACAGGACAGCAGCGCCTAGTCATGCTGCAAGCCGCATTTCAGCTGTGCCGTCCCTTCGTCTCCGCCTTTCCCCGGCAGACTTTCCTCCCTGGAACCTTGGGGGCCCTGTCCCCTTGTCCCTCGCTTCCCACCTCCCTCTCCTGCACACCACGCCGATGGACATCCCCCGCCGTGCCCCTGCGGGCTCCACGCCCGCCTCGCTGACGTGCCCGGCCCTTCGCGCCATGTCGCAAGCAGGCAGAGGCCGGGGGCGATGCTGGAGAGCGGTGCTGGCCGGGGCGCTCAGGGTCTCCTTTCTCTCCCTTCCCTCGGTGAGCTGGGTGGTCTTGGGGTTTTGTTTTTGACCAGTTGACGTGAAACCCGACGCCCAGTTCCCCCAGCTCGACAAGATCCAGCACTTGACCGACACTCTGCAGCACATCACCACGGAGCTGAACGGGGTCCTCGGCGCCCTGGGCTCCCTGAGCCGCGAGCGGTCTCCTCTCTTCGCGCCCGGCCCGGCGCCCGCGCTCCCCAGCGACGGGCTTCCTCTCTCTGCGTACACCTCTGTGGCGAGAGTGCCTCCTGCTGGCGTTCCTTTGGTTAACCAGTGGGCCTGGAGCTCGGGTGTGAGCTCCAGCCTCGCCGCCGCCGGCCAGTCGGTGGACAGCCTGCTGGCGGAGAAGTGGCGCAAGTATTTCCCAGGTATGCGCCGCACCTCCTCCTCCTGTCTGTCACCATCGATCTTGTGCCGCCGCTTCTGTGCCAGGGTGCAGCAGAGAGCCCCGGGCCCGCTGCCCTGGGGGACTGACCACGCACTCCCTGGCACTGCACCCTCTGCTGGGCACACCGGGGAGCGACCGGAGCCCTACATGGGCGGGTTAGGAGCCAGCTCTTGGAGGATTGAAGCAGGCTCCATCGGTACTAGGGAGGCAAAAGACTTGACAATGTTAACCATGGAACCCGTTAATGTTTGAATCGGTTAAACAAGCCCCGTGGGCTGCCAGCTTCCGGTCTCGCCTGCTTCCTGCCCCACGGGCTGCCAGCAGCACCAGCCCCACAGGCCTCCGCTCCCTGTGGGCTGGGGGCTTTGTGGGCTGATGACAGTGCCGGCCCCACCAGCCTCTGGCCCCCACAGGCTGCCAGCTTTGCAGGGTCCTGGCCCCCACGGGCTTTTGACAGCCCTCGGGGGTTTAAGCACTAACTGGAACTGATGAGCAGCAGCTTTGTGGTTAGTGGATTCACCGGTTAAACATTGCCATCCCAAATGGGCCATGGCCCGCCCCATACTGTCAGCAGCGTCTCTGTGTCCTTGGCCACTGTTCCGTTCTGCTCCGTCCAGTGGTTCCCTGCATTTCCAAAGCAGCTCCGCTCCCCCAGGTCTTGCACAGGGTCACGGTTCTCCCTTGCCAGCCCGTAGGGGACGTGGCTGGAGGGGTTAGGGTGGGTGCCTGCGGAGCTGCACCAGAGATGGGAGCACTGTGTCCATTCCGAGTGCTGTGGGGGCTCGTTGCATAGCCGTGGCCCAGCCGCCGGGACCGTGTCCTGCCTCCCAAGCCTTCCCCGAGGGCTGACGGTCCCTTTGCTCCACTGGAATGTCGCTGGGGGGAGAGCAGGGGTCGTGCCTCAGCCAATCCCGCAGGGTCCTCTGGTCCTTGAGCCGGCCTCTGTTCAGCTGGCGCCGGGTGGTGTGTTCACGGTGCGCTGGGCAGATGGGCCACCTGCCCCATGGGCCAGCATGGCCAGGTCTCCCTGTCGCGGGGCAGGCGGAAGCAGCCTGCTTGGGTCTGGAAGTGCTGGGACGGGGCTGCTGGCCAGCCTAGGGATTTGCAGGAATGGCGGGAAGTGATGCTCCTGGGGAGGCAGGTTCTTTAACGCTCTCGCTCGTCTCCTGCAGCCTTGCCGGGTTCAGCTGTAGCCTGGTGCTGGACTCGGCTCGCTGGAGATAGAGCGCTTGGTGCGCTACGTGGAGGAGGCGTAGGGCTCTGCTCTCTGCTGCATGTCCTGGGGGAGCCTTGCCAGCTCCCAGGGGGTCGTGTGGGGCGGCCCTCGTGGAGGTGCAGGAGTGGCCGGTGGCTGGAGTCTGCCTCCCATCCCAGGCAGAGCTGGCTCTCCCTGCTCGCAGAGGAGATCCCAGTGCGGGTTGTGGGCTTGCCGTTTTCACGGCCTAGGTGTGCTGGTAGCAGACCGCGCCCAGGGAGGTGCCTTTCCGGTAGCAGGCTGGCTTAACACAGTGGGCATAGCACAGGGGCTGGGAGGGCCAGAACCAAACCTGGGACCAACCAAATGTGAGGGGGCAGGCGAGAGCCAGGCCGGGCTCCCGGGGGCTTACAGCAAGGGTGCACTGGAGAGCTCGTGGCTCTGCAGCTGCTCTGAAGTGCTGGCTGGGTGATTTGCCTGCCGTGTGCTCTTTAGAGAGACCCAGCGGCGCTCCGGTGCACACCTGAGCTCAGGGCTAGCGCCTGACCTGTGTGGCTTGGGGGCAGCCAGCCCTCTCTGCAGGGGGGAGAGAACAAGGTGACTTTGTGCCCTGCTGGGCAGCGGGCTCCATGGCAGACAGCTCCCTGCACTGGGGCGGGTGGCGGTTCGCAGAGAGGAGGAGATAACAGCAGCTCGTTCCGGGAGCGAAGTGCAAAGCTGATCTCATTACCGTGTTTCCAGAGCACTTCAGCGTCTGCCACGTGCACAGGCCTGGCCACTGGGGGCCAGCGAAGGGGAGGGCCTTTCTACTGGGTTGTGTGCCTCACTGGAGACACTGACGCGATACACGTGGCTCCCACTTTACAATTTCCTTGCCAGAGCTAATTTTTTTCTATTTACGTCCTAAATCCCCAGCCCCGAGTCCTGCTAATCCCGAGCCAGCAAACGGCGGCAGCCCCGCGCTTGCTGCGTTGCCTGGTGAGAACGTGCTGAGGGCAGAGGCGTTCTGTTTTACGAGCCCTCTCTGTGGTCGGCGTGGATGGGCCAGCCGCGGACCTGCGGGGCTAGGAAGTGCTGTGTGCGAGCACCAGGCCGGAAGCTATCCCCCGGCCGAGGAGCTGGGCCCAGATTCAGCAAAGCGCTGCAGCACGTGCCAAGGGCTCACTGACTCACGAGGACTTAAATGTGAAACCTGCGTAAACGCCGCGAGGGGCCCTGTGACGAGCGTTGCTGTGGGGCCTAGTGATTTACCTTTGCCTCGTTTTGCAGGGGGCGTTGCCTCCCTAGCCTGCCCCTGCGTTTGGGGGTCGTGGCACTGGCAGACCCTCTGCTCATGCGCCATTTAAATGGCAGAAGGAGAACTGGGCAGGTCCCAGGTGGGGGGGACCCTCTTCTCTGCCTTTGGGGGGCAAGGAAACTCTTGGGAGAGTGAGACGGAGGCGAGGGGGGATTTGACAGCGGCCTTCAACTCCCTGAAGGGGGGCTGTACAGAGAGAGGCGGTTCTCAGCGGGAGGGGTGCAGGAGGTGGGCTGAGGGAGGGGATGGGGTGCCAGAGACAGGCTCCGGCCGGGAGGCAGTTACCTGGGCAGCTCCTGGCCAGCAGCCCAGCAGGTTCCTCAGTCGGGGCCCCTGCATCAGTTTCCAGGACCATGTGAGGCTGTGAGTGCTGCGAAACCAGCGGGGGGAGGGGTACTTTGCATGCCGCCTGTCCTGCAAACAGGCAGCTCCCATTGGCTGGAAACTGGCACATGGGAGCTGAGAGATTGAGCTGGGGGCGGGAGCAGGGCACGAAGCCTCTACTCCAGTGGTCCCCAACGCGGTGCCCGGGGGCGCCATGGCGCCGCCGGGGCATTTGTGCGCGCCCGCCTAGTGACCAGAGCCGGCCCGGGTGCGCACAGCGCATGCACGGCCCCTGCCCCCAGGCATGCCGCAGCCCCCAC